TGTTTTGGCTGAGCTTTTGTGTCCATTAGAACCCTCAAATTCTAACTTGAATTCTCATAGGTTTTCCAATCAAATTGGATACTCCTTGCCTTTGATCTGTCCAACCCTAGCTCACGGAACAGACAGGTGTTGTTGCATTACTTCAGTTTTTTTGGTTTACGTTTCGGCTGAGCTTTTGTGTCCATTAGAACCCTCAAATTCTAACTTGAATTCTCATAGTTTTTCCAATCAAATTGGACACTCCTTGCCTTTGATCTGTCCAACCCTATCTCACGGAACAGACAGGTGTTGTTGAATCGGTTAAGTTTTTTTGGTTGATGTTTCTGCAGAGCTTTTGTGTCCATCAGAACCCTCAATCTCTAACTTGAATTCTCATACTTTTTCCAATCAAATTGGACACTCCTTGCCTTTGATCTGTCCAACCCTAGCACACGGAACAGACAGGTGTTGTTGAATCGGTTAAGTTTTTTTGGTTGATGTTTCTGCAGAGCTTTTGTGTCCATCAGAACCCTCAATCTCTAACTTGAATTCTCATAGTTTTTCCAATCAAATTGGACACTCCTTGCCTTTGACCTGTCCAACCCTAGCTCACGAAACAGACAGGTGTTGTTGAATCGGTTAAGTTTTTTTGGTTGATGTTTCTGCAGAGCTTTTGTGTCCATCAGAACCCTCAATCTCTAACTTGAATTCTCATACTTTTTCCAATCAAATTGGACCCCCCTTGCCTTTGATACGTCCAACCCTAGCACACGGAACAGACAAGTGTTGTTGAATCGGTTCATTTTTTTCTGTTCACGTTTCTGCAGAGATTTTGTGTCCATTAGAACCCTCAAATTCTAACTTGAATTCTCATAGGTTTTCCAATCAAATTGGATACTCCTTGCCTTTGATCTGTCCAACCCTAGCTCACGGAACAGACAGGTGTTGTTGAATTGGTTAAGTTTTTTTGGTTGATGTTTCTGCAGAGCTTTTGTGTCCATCAGAACCCTCAATCTCTAACTTGAATTCTCATACTTTTGCCAATCAAATTGGACACCCCTTGCCTTTGATACGTCCAACCCTAGCACACGGAACAGACAAGTGTTGTTGAATCGGTTCATTTTTTTCTGTTCACGTTTCTGCAGAGATTTTGTGTCCATTAGAACCCTCAAATTCTAACTTGAATTCTCATAGTTTTTCCAATCAAATTGGATA